AAGTGAAATTTTGCCTCCCAGGCAGGGAGGACTAAGTAACATTTTCCAGAAGATGGTCTTGAAGAACAATTAAAGCTTGCATTTCAAGAAGCATTTACTGTTATTTAAGATTTTCTTAATAAGTTAGAGTAGACATTCTTTTTAGCGTGAAATTATTTGCCCTGTTTTTATAATGAAACGTTCTGCTCTAATGAACTACAAAAAAGGGATTAGTTTATTTGAAGGAAATCTCAATGTGTGAAGATGCTATTAGTCATAAACGCCATTATCTGTTGTAATAAATCCATAGATGGCATATGCTCGCTTGGAAATGAAGTCGACGTAGCCTGGAGGAAAACTGGAAGATAAATGAAAACGGTAGTAAATGAGTTTTTTCCTCAACCGCAGTGAGTAAATAAAACTTTTGAATTCTAGTGCTCCACCACTCAGAAGTTTAAAGATGCTGCCTATTTGCTTCAAATAATTAGCTTTATGTACAAAATATCAAGAAATGTTTCATTTTCCTTTACTTTTACTGAAAATCTCAATTAAACACTTATTTGCCTTAAGCATTAATTTTTTTTTTAAATTCTAACTAAGCTTTTAATACTTAAACACGTAAGCAAATTCACCGCATTGGCTTTTAATTAAAATGTTAACAGCATCAAAACTTTAAGCTTTTTTATGATTGGAATATCTTCGCATTCAATGAACTGTTTGGGATTTTTGTGGTTTTTGATTTAATCATTATGCGATACGAAAAATTTTGAATTTATTTTCAGCTATGAATTGCGTACATAAGAATATTATATATTTACGAATTAGGGAATTAATTTCACGCCGTCTAAGGAAACATCAGAATTATGCTCAAATTAAATTCTTATGAGTGAGTGCACATATCAACTTAAAACTATCATTAAAACAAAAATTTATTTGTTAATTGTAAAAAAAGAAGTACTTCCTTCTCTACTTTTATATGTAATAAATTCACTAATGCTAAATATTTTAGAATACCTGTAATTAACGTAGGGGCAGTATGTGACTAATGTAGGACATAATGAATGATATCTGTAAAAGAGGTATACTTAAATAGTATTTTAGCATAAATTCACATTTCATAATAAATTCTCCTTTGAATATTTTCGAGCAAAAGACAAAGCTATATTCAAATAGTTAAGGCAAAAATAGTTAAGGCAAAAATTATTTTTCATTGAAAACTTATATTTTAACTACCTGTTTAAGTTTCTTCTTACGAATTTATTAGCGTAAATAAAAAAGGACACATTATCATATTAAAATTCTAGCAAACATTTACTATTTTGCTGAAATTGTAATATTTTTTTCACTTAAAAATTTTGGTGAAATATGTTCCTGCCTGTAAAAATGTAACAAAAACTTTCAAAAAGATGCTAAGGCTACAAATTTACATTATTTTATAGTATCTTGTTACGTAATGAAAACCTCTATAATCCGTCATTTATTTCGTTCTTGATGTAATCTTTCTGCTTTATCATAGGGCTGAGATACATCGATTGAACATGAAAGACTTAATGAACTTGTCAACTGTTTCCCAACAGACCCCTGCTGACGTATAAAGCTGCACAGGTAGAGTAAAAGATTAGAAAATCTTAATCATTTAATAGGCAAGCTGAAAAGATCGTAAAGCAATTTTCCTGGATTTAATTATTACATAACCCCATCCCTCTTCACCCACGGGAAGACATGATTGATACTTGTAAATGGCATATTTGCATAAGTTCCTTATAATCTACAAGCTTTTTTATGGGTCTTTTTTTTGCCTAGTGCTTCAAAGATTTCCAAGAAATTGGTATTATATGATAATGGAATTTACTTTTAGAGCAGATTATATTGTCAACTAGGCCCAACCTCATTTCAGGCGAAGAAGATTGATCTTTGCTTATATGTGTTTTCAGTTTGCGTGCGTGAAATTTCCGTTCTCTTGAGGTGTTGTTTAATGAAGGGTTCCATTTATCAGATTTCCGCAGAATTTTTGTCACTTTGCAAACTATCATTCTTTCATGGCCTAAAGCTATACAATGTATTTCAGCAATATCTGTAGTATTCTTTTCATGATTTGCAATGCAAAATATGTATTAATTATTTCATATTTCAATGCAAATTTCCAAAATGTGAATCACAAATTTATCTTCCTCACAAAAGGTAATGCAGTTTATCGTCCTAATACAGCAACGTATTGCATTTCAGTAATATATATCTGTAATCATATTATTCGCGTTATTCATGTGACTTGCCATGAGGAAATACGTATACTCCTTCATATGTCACTAGTTTTCGAAAGTGTATATCAGTGAACCGTATTCGAGATTTATATTTCTCTAAAAATTTTCTTATGGATAGAAATACCCTTTCTCTTTCCGCTATTAAATCAGTTGAATTTCATTTCTTTTTTGGTTTCAAAGTAATAATTTTATTAATTTTCATAAATAAATAATAATAAACAAGCACATAAATAATAATAAAATATAGAAAACTAACTGGCGCCTTAAAGAATTGCTTGAGATTGAGAATGGCCTTCGGCCTCTTTCTGTTTACAGAATTTATGTAGTCGTTGCTACAAATTCTAATTTCTGAGTTATTGAGTTTGCTTTGGTTATCATGAAAACTCTTGGTTGCGTGATAGCAGTATGTCCGTAACTGGGCCATTTTTAAATCTTTGTGAAAATTTGAGACTATTGATTTAGTGTATGTTTCAGATCTATAAAATAATTCATTTCTGAATTATTATGCAAAATTACCATAATTTTGTTCTGTCTGTCTGCATACTATTACACGATATATTATGTGAATTAAATAAAAGCGTTCTGCTTCTGATTTAGGAAATATGAAATCTTGTAATACTGGAAGCTATTCGTCTGCTTTTACGAAACCTCAAATTCACTTCCTTTGAATGGCAACATCGGAGAAGCAATTCGAAAATGAAAGCAAGGCAGACATGTCAGGTTGGACAAAGTTAATGACCTAAAGTTCCTTCTAAAGACTTAAATAATGGCTCCATAGCCGGAACGACCGACTAAGGTTATAGAAGAAATGCTAAATAAAAATCCATTACAAAATTAACAACTCTGCTTCGTAGTCAAATATAAATATTTTCCTACTCTTTGTAAATCAAAGCACTAATCTTCTTGACCAAGTGTTTCTTAAATTCAATGAAATTTTCTTTGACATATTTGACAAAATTACCATCTAATTACTTTCTGTTTAGAACTGGCTTCAGTCATCATTCAGGATGTGACATTCTGCTATTTTGTATGCCATAAAAAAAGTTCATTTTGTTTCTCGTTGTGTTTTAACGAGCTGCAAGTTCATTAATTATCTATTTCGATGACCTTCAAGCGAATGTTGACACTTGATGGCCTCGTGGGCGTCTCAGGAACGCGGTGATGGAGATGTCTCTTCATATCACATAGCAGGTAAATCGATTCCAAAACAAAGTAATGAATTAAATGCTAAGAATACAAAGGTTATATTCCAAATGTTTGGAAGCTGGTTTTAAAAAAACTATTATACGCTTTATTTACTCATATTTGTTATTTATATGTTACACATTCATGGAGTTTCAAAGTAATTGCACAACTAAATACCTCTGGAATAGCTATCCACAGAACACATAGCTCCCACTGTAAAAAAAAAGCATGAAATGGGTAGCGCTCAAGTTAATATATCCCAGAATGGAACATTCCCAAATTTTAGCACAATGATCTGTTTTAGGACACTGTAAATATTTTAGGATCCTGTAAATATTTTCAGATTTAGTAAATATTCCTCAAGAGTTTAATTTTATTAACTCCGTTACATGAAGCTGCGGAGATATTTTTCAGGAATCGGAATAGCAGTAGTGTTAGTCAAGTAATCGTGCTATCTAGACAGAGATGATCTTCATTTGACACAATCGTTTGGTTTGTAAAAGAATGTGATTTCGCGCTTTCGAAATCAAAGAACTTGTACAAAGCACAAGGTTAAGTTTCAAACGCTTTGAAAAAATTAACTACATTCTCTTTTATAACTAAAAAAATACGTTATTTTAAACAATAAATCATCAATTATATTTGTTTCTTGACGAACTGTTCACATCTTTTGAGGGTTTCTTCAGTAACATGTTGACTTCTTGCTTCACGTTTTACTCTGCAAATACTATATTTTGCTCGATTGTTTGTTTTTAAATTAAAGTAAAGTAAAGACTAAAATACAAGATTCAAAAACGTAAAATACAACAAATTTTAAAATTAAAATATAGGTAGTAATTAGGAATTTACGTACCCCAAATTTCAAAATTCATTCCGTAGTATTTTTTATTTATTTATATTTATTTTTAATTTAATTTTTTTCGCTTTTATTTACTTTCTTGTAACATTAATTTGTATATGATATTTTAAAATCATTTAAAAATTTCTGTTATTCATTTTCATTCTAAAACTTCTGAGTTATGCTAGAAAATCAAAACTTTCAATAATAGGTCACATATTTTTAATGTAACCGCCCTCGTTCAAAAAACCGATGTTGTTGCTGTTGTTGTCTTGTCAATCCTGCATTGAAGAATAGTTGTCGGAGCCTAGTCCAAACAGAAGTTGGACTTCTATTTTCCACCCCAATTTTGAGGAAGAACACCCCGGGGGAATGGGGTCCAGGAGACCTCCACCCCACCCCTCTCCCCCTTCCACCAAACCGCACAAAAGGACTTTCGGGTCGCCCCATATTTAGAGTGTCCCTATGCCACACGGGCACTATACATTTTATAATATGCATGTGTCCTTCGGGATTCGAACCCGAGCCCTTCGATACCGCAGTAGGCTTTCCTAATTAGACACGTCATCAGTTATGCAAGCCACGTGACATAGATTAATCTAGAAATGTTGCAGCCAGAAACGTTATTACTATTAGAATACAGAGAGGAAATAGCCAAATTAAAAATTAGGAATTAAGAAGCTATAACTAAATTAAATTATAAAGCTTATAAGGTAGTTCTCTCGCCTTCTTAGCATGCCTTCGTGGTGTAGTGGTCAGCACGCCCGACGTGTATTCGGGAGGTCCAGGGTTCGACTCCCGGAGAGGGCATTGCTCTTTTTTCATCTCTCTTTCTTTCAAAAAATACCTAATGTCTCTACAGTGGCGCCCGAACTAAAAAGATAGTAGATGATGATTCTCCACCACCAGGATTTGGCGATTAGGTCCCCTAATCCACAGTCGCTCTTTAAAAGGGGGAGTATATGAGGTATTTCTCCCACCTTCTTAGCATGCCTTCGTGGTGCAGTTGTCATCACGCTCTGCGCGTATTCGAGAGATGTGTGGTTCGAGTCTCGAGAATGAGTGCATTGCTCATTTTTCATCTCTCCTGCTTTGAAAAATATCTAATCTCTACAAGATGATTTACAGATGTTTTATTTTACATATATTGTATTTGTGTAACTGTATATAGCGTATTTTTAGATTACGTTTTGTACCTCATTTGTATTTCAAGACGTAAGTCCAATGCTTAAACTCTTAAATCTGTAAAATGAATCTTCTAATCGTCCACTTATTGCTGCCTATTTTGTATTATCGTGTTGACTGACGACAGTTACAAAATACTGAGATTTTGATGTGATATTGTTTGAAAGGCGTTTTATTCTTTACCAATTCTGTAAGAGACAGTCAGTAATGGACGAATCGGAGCCCAGAAGGAGATAAAATGACGAAGAATTATGAGAAGCATTCTAAAATTCACACGTACGCAAACACAAAAATGACAAGTTTATTTTTTTCAAAAAATGTTACAGTTCGTTACTCCTTCTTTAACTTCTCACTTTCTACATTTAAATACGTCTTACACGGAGTGACACTGACTGTTGCTAGCCCTAGGTTCGAATACCTTACAGATGTATCACAAAATCTTTTATTCCCAATGGCTAGACAAAAAGTTACAAAGAACTAACAATTTTACAGAGGCTACAAACAATAGAGCTAAGAACAAAAAGACCGAAGTCATTGCCTAAGGAGAGCTCCTGCCTCCAAATATCATGTACCAAAAAATAAATTTATGGAATCTTCTTTCATGAAATTGATGCATACATTGCATTTCTTTTAAACATATATACCGAAAAATTGAATAATCTTTTATCAAGTTCTGTGTTGCCTGCATTTCAAAATCTTTCAATACCAGAAAAGCAAATATATTTCTTGAATACATTACTGAATAAAAGGTGGAGACTAATACAAAGCATTACGGAAAACTACAGGTAAAATATATTTACAATGAAAAGACATTAACATCTTCTCTGAAAAATTCTAGTGCGTTAGGAGGAAATCATTTTTGCATTCGAAAGCCATTGTTCTCGATCCCTTTCAAACATTTACAAAAAATATTTGTTTATAGATTTACATGTATTATACCTAAATAATTATATTTAAAAGCTTATTTCATGAACTTTAACATTAGTTAAAATTAACATTAAATCTTTCAGGAGAATTATGCGAATAATTTTGCTTTAATAAGGTAGTTTCAATACTAAAAAAATTAAAGCCAAAAATATTACACGCTTCTATTAGAAAATAAAGAAATGTTCCATACTCAAAGTGTAATTAAAGGTGTTTACAGCTGAATATCCATAGTGGTTAAAGCAATAAAGATTTAATTTATTTAGTTATCATAGTAAATACTAAATGACTCTTATAATAGTGATAATATTATATGTCTCTTTTAATAGTGGTAATAAATTCATTTTTATGTAAATTAAATGAAAATTTTATACCTTAAGCATATCAGAGAGGTAAGAGTTTGATGTCTTAATACAATTTTGCGATTCAAGCTGTCAATTACTATCAATAATTATTTTGTCAGCTTAGCCCAACCCTCCAAATGCGCTAGAAAATTGATTGCTGTGTTATCGTACATTGAATCAGACTACAAAATCATTTCAACGATAAGAGAAACATTTTTCCTTTTACATTTCTGAAACACATCTCATTAGCATTTTTCAAATTAAGAACGACAATATCTGCCATGGTTCAAAATTCTACCATTCCATAATGAATTCATAACATATAGAATGAAGCATTAATTTAAACTCTCAGTCCTGAGAACTTTGGTTTTCTACACATAGTCTTCAGTTATAAATTACTGAAAAGTATGTGGCGTATGGGTTCATAGTAACCAAAACGCACAAGTATCAGCCAAGTACACGAGAGATATTTAGTATTTCACATAAATTTTATGTGACGCTTGTGAATCATGGCAAAAGATGATGCAAACTTGTAACCACTGATTCGTGTTCTCAGTTATTATAAGGTTAAAATTCTTAGTTGGCATTAATTATCAAAAATAAAGTGAGAATACTCTTAAAAAATTAAAGAGACGAAATTCTTTCCTTGAATGAATTCTATATGCATTATAAATACAGAAAATATATACTCTGTGCCTGTTTTTAAATAATTTCTTAACCTTCAACAGTGAATCTTACTCTTTGACTTTGTGTCTCTTGTATCAAATCCAAACGCACACTGGCTTAGATGAAGAATACGAATTCCCATTTTGTTCTCAGCATAAAATTACCTTGATCTTCTGTGCACAAAAGAAAAAGGTTTGTTTGCACGAAAGAAAAACATTTGAATATTAGGAATTCGTAAAACAATTGCCAGATTACGATGGATAATATTTCAAGGATTTTTATGTTTTACGCTGAAAAAATTTTATAGAATTTATTTTATAGAATTTCAAGTATTTTTCCGGATATAGACTTATTATTGAAGATAATTGATACACTGAGCAAAACAAGATAATAGATACGATTCACTAATGTCCTACTTCATCTGGCAGTCTTCTTATTCTTAATAACCATAAACGTTTTACTTTGCATATCAAAAGTACATGATAAACTACCCCCTTCATTTAGAGAATAAGTATTAACTACTGTTAATCATGCTTGCTTTTATAGCACTAACAGGAAAATGATAATATTTCCTTTTTTCAGTTCTTCTAGTACTTCTTAACAAGGAAGTACGCTAAAATTTCCGTGGGTACCGTGACAGTCAGCTGAAGTGAATCCAATTCGCTAAATCTAGTTATTAAATCACGAAATCAGCAACATTTTTGCTGGTTTATTTCTCAGAATGTACGAATGAACTCATTTTTGATTTAGAAAAAATGTAACATTTCGTTTCTGTTTAAAAAAGAAGAATTTTTCCTGTTGTGAGAATAGGCTGAATGTTAGTTTGATTGCCTACTGAAATATTTATGGGATTTGTTACTTCGTTCATAGCATTTTAATGTTTATCGATATATATTATAAAGTACTTCTCTCGCCTTCTTCGCGAGCCTTCGTAGTGTAGTGGTCTGCACGCTCAGCGAGTAATTGAGAGGTGCATAATCGATTCCCGGCGAAGGCGTTCATCTTGCCTGCTTCAAAAAATACCTAATGTCTCTACAGTGGTATCCGAACTAAAAGGGTGTTGGATGATGATTATCCTCACCCATGATTTGGCGATTGGGCCCCCTAAAACCCTTGTCGCCCTTTGAAAAGGGTAGTATATAAGATATTTCTTCCGCTTTCCTAGCCTGCTTTCGTGGTGTAGTGGTCTTGCACGCTGCGCCAGTATTCCAGAGGTCCGTGGTTCGATTTTCGGCGAAGGCGTTTGCTCATTTTTCAAGTCTCCTGCCTCCAAAAATATCTAATGTCTCTACAATATAATCTGCAAAACCAAAATTGTTTGAAAATTTTTCAGCTTCCTTGTTACTGCCTCTTGAATAGCCTAAACCGGGGCGTGGTGCTGTTCTTTTACGATCCTTTTCAGTCGTGGAAAGAGGAAGAAATCTGAAGGAGCGACACCTGGGCTGTAGGGTGGCTGGGGAAGCTGTTTGATGCCATGTTTGGTAAGGACGTCCATGACAGCAAAGGCTGTGTGGCTCGGCGCATTGTCGTGATGGCGCCTTCTTGATTGCTGGAGGGATGCGGACGACTTGTTTTATGAGTCTTTCAAGTACTAAAAATACAGCATTCACACTCTGGCCAGGCGGTACAAATTCTCTGTGAACCACTCCTTTGCAGTCAAAAACGATTATCAATATCAATTTCATCTTCAGCTTGCTTTCTTCCTCCCGAAACAATATGTGCCACTCAAAAATAACTGATTGACCCATGGTATCACTTCCATAAGCAGTCGTGATCATATCATGTGTCTCATTATCAGTTTTACCTAATTTGACGCCAAACTTCCCCTTGTAACGCTGCTCAAACAAACAATTCATTGTGGAGGTGACAAGGCACCTTGAAAGAGGTTCACCTTAAACTCGATCTACACTCAGTGAAGGCTTGGAGACGATTGGCGACTCGTGTGCTTTTAGCTAAAATCTTCCACACCCCAACCAACGCAGTCACATCCCCTTCTCCTTCCTCGTGTTTTGGCGGAAAAATCTACTACTTCCCGGTCAAACCCTGCACTTACTCCAGCATACAAAAATGTACTATCATTCGCAACGCATTGTAATTTAACCCTAATTTAATGTAAATTGTAAGCATGATTAAATGTAATATTACAATATTTTAATGTCTGCATTTTAATTAAAATAAATTTTAAAATTACGTAATTGTAATCAAGCACAACGATACTTATCAGCCCATTCCTGTCGCTATTTGAAAAATAAATCTGGCTAACGTGCTTAATTCATTTTTTAAATTTTTTTGTAACCTGCTTCTATACGTTTAATTACAACGATAAGGACTTTAATATCCTCTTATCCCTCGTTAGATCGACTTAATGGATTTTAGTTTATAACAAATATACTCGAATGATAATTAATAACTCTGGTCAGCATATAGCTTCTTAAAAAAGTCTCTTCCAAATAGAGCGTGTAACACAAGTGAAATTAATTATACTCAGGACCATTAAGTATAATACTTAAGTGCTCTGTCAGAAGTTGCATGTGGTATTTGCATCACGCCAAAGAACGTAATCTTTAAGACTTTGTATAATGGTAAATTAACATATTACATCTATTAAAAATATTTAACCTACTCATTTTTTGTTTTCTATCACTATGCAAATATAAATAAAAGTGATGTCAGATGCGATAATGTTAAGTG